CCTAAGGCCTACATCTTTTCTATAAATAAGATCCCCTACAGACTAAGTTCTCCAAAGCCCAATGTTGAGTAAATGCTTACTCCTCTGCAATATGACATCATTATGAATGAAATCATTAAAAAGTAGGTGTGTGAAAAGGGACCTCAGGAAGTCATATAGTCTAACTCCCCTGCTCCAGGCATGATCATTCCTCATCATGAGAATGTTCTTCCTAATATCCAACCTAAAATTCCACGACTGTAGCGCGAGTCAAATTGCACCTCACCCTTGCAGCTACAAAGAAAAGTCTCTCTCAATCTTACAATCACCCTTCAGGTAGTTGAAGACTGTTACCAAATCTTTCCTTGATCTTATATTCTTCAGACTAAATAATCCCTTTTCTTTCAGCCTTTCCTCATAAACCATATTTCTTAGACTTCTAATCATGTTCATTGCTCCCACTGGACTCTTTCTTATATGTCCACAGTTTTGTTTGAGTGAAGGGCCAAAAACTGGACAAAATAAATGATAAAAAACCTACAAACTTGCCTTTATGTGCCTTAGCTATTGGCTCATGAAGTCTGTATTCATCAATGTAAGTGATTTGGAATTGGACAAGGTATGTGTATTTATGTTTTGCATAGTGCCAAGTATATTTTCCCCATGGATATTAGATAGGTCTTTTGTTTTGATGTATGCTTAAAGAGTAGCAAGCATATAAAATGGATCTGTTTGTGAAACTTGCCTGATAATTCTATCTGCTTAAAGTAATTTTCAACAATGAGAAATTTTTCAAATCTATATTTGGAATGTTTCCATGTGAAAAGATACAGATCAGTGAATAGTAAAATTTAAGCACTAAAACATTAAAATGATTTATTCAGGAGTCCAGTACTGAAAATGAATCTTCTAACAATACCAAGTGTGGAAATTGATTATTGCATTGTCCATCTGCATCATAATCATGATTATCACATTTGAACACCTGAATTAAAAATGAATCACAAACACAGTAAACTTAATTAAAAAATATCTATTTCTCAATAGGTGCTGATTTGGTGTCTCCATACTTACTAGATGGGCCAAACTGGCATTTCCTCATAAAAAGGGGTGTTAGAATACCAATGATCCAAATCATAATTGATATACAGGAAGAGATGTGACAGGCATTTTCAATTTTATATGCTTTAGACCTGTATTATTACAGTTCATTTTCAGGGACATTAACTTGTAGTAAAATTATCAAAACAGTGTTATCATGTTTTAATGGTAGAAATGGCAGTAACAACTCCAAGCTCTACTTTAAGTAATACTTTTTATTTCAGGAACTAGTTTCTTCAAAGTTATAGAAAATAATTCCATCAACAGTTACCTTCATATGAAGAATCATCTATTATCATCTGCATCAATTCAATTTGACCTCCTTCTGCTGCATGATGCAATGGAGTGGCATGTAGTTCATCCACTTTGCTAAGTCCAGAACGATTCTTCTTAATGAAACTCCGTAATCTGCAAGTACTTCCATCTGAAATCACCTTATTTTGGATACAAATATAATCATGTTCTATTTTTAGCAGACTGTTTTATTAACTTCATATGCTAAAAGTAGTTCTCTATATTTCCCCTGTATCCTATCAGTATCAAAAGCAATAGGCCAACAGTAAGAAAAATGTAAAGAGCGTAAAAAAAAAAAACCCCAAAAGCTACCCACAAACACTTCCCCCTACCTTAAAATCACTAGCAATTCTGCAAAACTAACAATTCTTTTACAACTACTGAACAAAAACATTATCACCTAATGCAAATACTTAAGCATACTTTATTCATATAAGTAGTTCCATTGGCTTCCGTGAGATTATTCAAGTGAATGAAGTTACATACATGCTTAAGCATTTTCAGGACTGGTACTAAATTCAATTCTGCCACCTGCTACTGGAGTGCTGACATAACACAAAGGGTAATAGGGCTGAAAAGCTGTTATTTAAAAGGAAAATACAAGCTCTGATGTCAATATATCATCTAGAAGGAATCTGATTGTGCACACACACACAAATTTCATATTTAAAAATCTAGGTAAGACTTGACCCTACAGAGTCAAAAGGAATTGGGAGCAGGAGCCAGAAGCTGGAATCTAAACTGGATCCAGTGGTCAGTGATTCCCAGTCAGGAATCAAGGACTGGGATGAATCATCTCCCAGAGCTACAGAAAATAGTCCTTGGGCCTTTATAAGGTCAGACCAGATAGTAGCAAGCTACTTGGACAGCAGATTGCCTTGTTCTTCCTCTGACCTGTTTGGAATTTTTTAAGCTGACTGTGCTCTGAACCTCTGGCTTGAATACACACCTTTTCCTGTCTTGGACTTCCTGCTCAACTGTGTGCAACTCTTGACTTGCAAACCTGGACTATGACTGACACCCAGCTTTGACCATACTGGTAAACTCCTGACCTAATACAATCCTCTTGGACTGACTGCTTATATCCTGATTCATCCTTACAGTTGGGAGCTAGCAGCTCAGGAAGCTGGGATCTGTGCTGTAGTCTGGAGCAAGGAGTCAGGAACCAGAAGATCTGGAAGCAAGAATGTGACCTGCAGACAGAAGTCACCAAGGAGCCAGTAGGCAGGAACTAGGAAGCAGGAGGTAGGAACAAGGAACCCAGAACTAGACGGAAAGGCATCTATCCTAATGAGTAGCTTCCTGGGTACTGAAATGCCTGCTGTTAATCAGCAGACGGTCACACCCCTGCAGGTAACTGTGACTAATTAGGACAGCAAGACCCAACCCAGTTGGGCCAGCTGGGCCCTAATTAGTCTGCCTACTGCATCCACATCTGACAGGTCTGAGCTCATTTTTCCTGAGTATATGTATGACAGTGATGCTTTTGATTCCATATTATTTTTAAATAACACAAAATATAACAATTTACCCACATTAAATAGTTTATATAGACCTAAACAGAATCTTGTTATTCCTATTGGTATTTTGCATATGTTTTTATGTACTATTTTAATTATTACAATGGACCAATAGATGTTTAACAATTTGAATTGGATTCTTCCCTTATTTACACTGATGTGGCTCTAAAAAAATTCCATTTAATTCCACTTAAGTAATGTTAAAGTACATGAGTTTTTAGGTTTAGGGAAATTACACGTGCCAGTGAAAAGTACAAAGAAAAGCTGATAATATTTCAGTTCTGGATCATCTGAATATTTTCATTCCAAGCATCTTTCTCCCATTGTCCTAAGTGTTCATGTGTTTTCTAGCACCATACACTTTAGTTCACCCAGGTATTCATATATGCAATATGTTTCAATGAAGGACTATATTTTGCACCTTCACCTCTTTGTCTTTCCTATTAAGCTGAATGTCATTAAGATTGCTTTTAAGAGAACTAAGATTGAAATTGCAACCCCTTGGAAAAACTGCAATTTCACCTTAGATCTTTTCCTTTTGGGTTGCATAGTTTCTTGTTTCACTTTGGTTATAATCCTGGTAACCACTATTGCATCTGACACTCAAAATACCAGTTACAGCTATTCAGATGTACTATTACAGAAAAAAATGCTTTGTTTGGCTGCTATATTTATTGGATTTATTTTTCTTTCTTTTTCTAACTGATTTTCCTGGCTTGCAAGTATTAAGAACAAAATGTAAACAAACAGCCACCTTGATTTGATTATAACCAAACAGCAACATAGTTTGACTTGTTGAGTTTCAAGGATATAGCCAGCCACTGTAACATACATGAACAGATACACATACTTTGCATGTTCTCTATAAACAAAGTACCAGACCATTAGTACATCTCTAGCTTTCTCCTGTTCATGTTCCTATCTAAGGCTATCATTTTTAACCATCAAGAAGGAATATTCTTAAATTCATATCTGCACATAGAATTCTTTTCAGCCCTAGTCAATATGTAAATACAAGCTGTTGTTTTCAGAATCATCAAGAGCTTTACATACTTAGTGTTTTTCTATATGAAAAACATAATCAAGAATATGTTTGATACAATAAGCAATTATTCAAGAAACTTACAGGAAAAAGCACGTGTTCAGATATATCCTTTTTGTTCCTAAACTGTATTAATAGTTTTTCAAGCCAGTAAAAGGCATCAAACCTTTTTTTTTTTTAATCTTGATAGCCTATACAGTTGCAAACATCTCTTGCAAAAATAGGGCAGGAAGAAATCACTTCAGCTATGTTCTCAATATCTTTACTTCAGTTAAGAGAAAACAAATTCAGCCACTTTCAGGAAAGTTCCTTGCCTATTGTGCATGAGTGATTCACTGACTCTACCACAATGATTTGGATAACCAATGCTATATAGTAGTGGTGCTCAACCTATGATCTATAGAGGCTCTGACCATGTCATCCAGCCCACAGAGCTCCTCAGGGGTCTGAAATTTGGCAGCAGGGAAGCGATGGCAGCATTAATTGCTGCAGCTCCCCCACCACCAAATTTCCAGACCTGTGGAGAGTGCTGGGGGGGCAGATGACATAGCCCTGCATGCTGAGTCACATCAGCGTGTGGGTCTACTCCATGGCTGGATCCAGGGCACAGAGCCAAGCCAGGATGCCAGTTAGTACCTGTGGACCAACCCTGCACTGGATCAGGCCTGAAGATGGGCCATGTGAGATTGGGCCCATGGACCAACACCTACACCACTCCTCCAGCCCATGGAGCTCAATAGGTTGAGGACCACTGCTACATACAACTGGAATGTCAAGCCTTTTGGATAAAATTCTAGATTTCACCTCCCCATATTCATAACGAGACTCTAGAGGGACATAGCAAGACAGATTTAGTCCTGGAGCAGTGGCTGAGCATAGGGCAGTGCTGGTTTCAGCCAGGGGAGGTGCAGTCAGCCACTGCTGCATGGTGGCTATTTTTTGTGCTCCCCACCCCCCACCCGCAACTGTTTTGTGTGTCCCCTGGTTGCCCCCTCCCCCCCCCCACACATAGCACTATTTACTGTGCTGAGCCTTCATTAATTTTTAGAATTTAAGACCTGAAGAGTCTCTTAGATTAGTGGTTCTCAACCTTTTTTGTACCATTTGTACAAAAACCCATTTGTAAACATTGATGGCCAGTTCCTACCTAGTGCCCCTCTCACTCCCACTCCCTGCCCCCTGCCCCCAAGCCCCAGCTCCACACACTGGGGGGCTGGGGGGGGGCTGTGGCATGGGGAACCCCAAGCAGGTCCTGGCAGGAACTCTGCCAGTCTGCAAGGGAAAAGTCATAGTTTCACATGTTTTTCTCCTTTAAAGGAGAGTCCATTTTTTAAGTTTGTTTACAACCCTTTCATATATCCTTGCAACCCACTTTTGGGTCGTGACCCACAGGTTGAGAAACACTGTGTTAGATCATCTTAATTGGACCTGTACATCAGTGCCCATTAAATATCACTCAGGTACTCCATGTGGAATTCAAAAACTTAAAATGCGACTATAGTTAGTATCCAGCTAAATGATATGTTCCAAAGAAGCATCTAAGTCTTGATCTGAGAACATCAAAAGAAAGAAAAATCATTTTCTTTGATGATTTGTTCTAATAGCTAAAAATGTGTGCCTCGCTTTTCACATGAATTTATCTTTCTCAGCTTCCAGCCATGGATCTTTTTATGCCTTT